GTGACCTTCAGCTAAGTTTGTGATAAACTGAAAAACTGCCAGCTAGGTAAACTTGAGTGAGTGAAGGACACATGTTCTTTTGCTTTTTGGTAAAAGTGAGACACCAAGGCCTATGAAGACATTGAGCAAATTCTAGAAATCTGTAAACTTGATCCTTCAGTAGGAGAGAGAATTTAAAAAGATATTAAGAATCCAGATCCTGAAATGAGTAGACTGAAGAAAGATAAAATGAGTTGATTACTGTCTGAGTCCCAAAAAAGGAGGACAGGGTTGTTTGGGCTATGCTGTCTGTCCATGTAACCCCATTATGGTATTTGGGATGGAAAAAGAAGACTAGGCTATTGAAGTGAGAGAGAGAGAAAGAGAGAGACAGAAACAGAGAGAGAGAATAGAATAAAGAAAGAGAGAGGAAGAAGGAAGGAAAGGCAAGAAAGAGAAAGGAGGAAGGGAGGGAGAATAGAAGGAAAGAAAGAAGAGAGGAAGTGGGTGGGAGAGAGAAGACATAAAACTATACTTAAATACTTTAACTTCTGTTTCCTTTTTGTCAGCCTCTTTAATCTCCAGATGCACCCCATGGGTGTGTGCTAGTTGGCTAAGCACCATCAAACTCACTACGTGATTACCTAGCTTCATTAAATTTTACTGTTGTTTCCATAACAATGAGTCTCAGAAATACGTGCTGGGGTACCATGGTAGGGTATATTGGCTTGAAAATAATCAAGCTGACAGGCTGACCCAAAGCTACCTCTAGATAATCCAGTAGGTTCCGAACATTCCTGTGCAATACTACAGTAAATTTAAAATACTGGCACCAAAATATGAGCACTAACTGCTTATGAGAATTAACCACTAATTAAGTAAGCAAAAGGTAAAAAGGTAGAGAGATATCTAGAGTAGAGGGTGAATGGTAGATTGAATAGATCTGGGATGGGTGGCTGTGTTTGTAGGGCACAGTGGAGATTGGAGCTGCTAATGCCCTACAAACACAGCCCGGAAGCCTGAGGCTATGTGAGAATTAACCTCAGCCAACTGCTAAAATCTCAAGGCCAAAAAGATTACTTTAATGGTTAACTTCTCCCCTAGAATTAAATCTCTCTCTAACAGGAAAATAAGTTAACAGTGTATCATTAAAGTAACTAGTTTAAAATGCCAGTTAATAGCTAAAGCATTAAAGAATATGCTTTGACCTCTAGTGTTCAACCTTGTCACCTTCACTGAAGTTGCAGTTCAGAAATAAATCATTATTGTGAGGCCCAGCCATGTGAGGCAGCAGAATAGCTAGTTCCTGACATCATGTATGGGGTGCTGAGAGGGCCCTTTCCCTAAAAATATCCCCTTGATATCAACCCTGTTTGCCGCTAACTTTAAAATCATAGTAAAGAATGTTCAAACTAGTGTCTGTTAATCCCATTCTCTTTTGCCTGGGTCAGTGATTTAAATATACCTGCTGTATGTATTATCAGGACCTTATTTTGGCTAGAGACACTGCCCCTCATCTCCTCATCCCTCAAGACTCTGTTCTACTCTGTCCTTGGTACCAACTAAGCTGTTGGCACACCTTTGTGACCTCATGTGCAGGTAGCTCTGTGTGGAGCAACTTCCTACAGACCCAATAAAAGGTTGCAATTCAGTAGGAAAAAAGCATGTGTTTAGAACCGGGGACTCCAGAGACACAAGCAAGACACTGTACTTCTCTAAATATCTTTTGCTACTCTTTATGTTCACTGCTTTTTTGGGGGAGAGGGGGGGTTGTGGGGCTCTGTCCCTCAACTCTTCAGCTCAAGGTGAACACTCTATCACTTGAGCCACAGTGCCACTTCCAGTTTTCTAGTGGTTTATTGGAGATAAGAGGCTCACGGGGTTTCCTGCCTGGGCTGGCTTTGAACCGTGATCCTCAGATCTCAGCCTCCTGAGTCACTAGGCTTACAGGCATGAGCCACTGGCCCCCAGCAAAACATTTTTTTAAGTATTAAAAAAGATTCCCCAGGCTGGGCAGGCGATAGTGGCTCACACCTGTAATCCTAGCTAATCAGGAGGGTGTGATCTGAGGATGGAAGTTCAAAACCAGCCCAGGCAGGAAAGTCGGTGAAACTCTTATCTCCAATAAACCACCAGAAAGCCAGAAGTGGCCCTGTGGCTCAAGTGGCAGCGTACTCACCTTGAGCTGAAGATCTGAGGGACAGTGCACAGGCCCAGAGTTCAAGCCCCACAACTGACCAAAAAAAAAAAAAAAGTAGACTACAATTTCCATGTAAGTCTATCTCTCCTGAAAAAAAAAGAAAACCTAGAGACTGTTCTTGACTAAAGATGATAAAACAGCGTATCTAAGTGCAACAAATTGACCTTGAAAGGCTTTTTGTTCAAATTTGAAAAACAAAAACAAAGAAAAAGCTATGGAAGATATTTTGGGAACAACTGGGAAAATATGAATATCAACACTGTGTTGCATGATGGTAGAAATTTATTTTTAGTTTTCTTGGGTAAAATGTTATTATAATTACATTTTCAAGTGGTTCAGCCAGGAACATGAGGGAGGGAGGGAGAGAGGGAGGAGGAAGAGAGAGAGACAGAGAAGGACAGAGTGAGAAACAGAAGGGGAAAGAGAGAGTGATAGAGAAAGGGCAAAAGAAGGAAGGAAGGAAGAAGGGAGGGAGGGAGGAGGAAAGGAAGGAAGGAGGAAAGAAAGAAGGAAAGAAAAAGAAAGAAAGAAAGAAGAGAGAAAGAAGAAAGAGAGAAAGAAAGGTAATAAGGAAGAAGAGGAGAGGATGAGTGACAAGGAAGAAGAAAAAGAAAGATAAACAAGACACAACAGGCACAAAATAGCAAAATGATAATGATTTGAATCTAGTAGTCTATTCAGCTGTTATACATATTTGTTCACTTTTCCTAACTATTTGAAATTTTTCAAAAAAATTAGTAGAAAAATTTACCCATAATGAATTGGGAAATCCTAAAATAAAATGAAATAAAAACATAAAGTTCTGCACCTTCCAACTTTGGAGTGCTTCTCTTCCCTTCCCATCCTCATGTGTACAGTGTGGGGACTATGTTGCAGACTCTTTAAACCAGGCATACCAAACTGGTAACCTACAGGTCTGATCTAGCCTAGACTTGTAGGGGGTTTTCCTTTGCTCAAACATTGTATTTTTATAGTTCTTTTAAGTTAACTTAGTTGCCAAATTTAAAATTCTGAGGATTTTTTTATCTTGATATATTTGTTATATGATAAAATATTTTACCCTATGATAAATATAAAGTACTTAAGTTTCTAAGCGAAAGCATGTAAATCACTTCTTCTCTGAGACAAACACTGTTTCTGTATATCCATTTATTCTTCACAACAGCACTAGGAGGTAGGTACTGTCATCATCCACCTTTACAGATGGGGAAACTGGCAAACTAAAGTGTTAAGTAATTAAGAATCTCATAAGCACTGGCCTGTAGGGTCAGGGTGGAGACCTTGCGCAGAAATCTTCATAACCACTTTATCTGTAAAAAGCAGCAAACAAACAAACAAACAGAAGATCCTCAATGCCTTCCCCCATGAGACTGACCAGTCAGAGCTAGACAGCTTGTTTCCCTTGCAAGCTGGGCAGCATCTCTTCCACTTGCCATGGTGCCCATCACTGAGCCTGATTCTGGAGCCATACGGTTTTGACTCATTCCAGCTGCAGCAGACACTAAGGCATGGCACATGCTTGCTATGGCACAGGCACCCAAGCCCTGTCCCACACCAGTTAGATACTAGATTGAACCTCTCAGTAGCTATGGAGCCGCGGAGGGTAACACAGGCCAGATTTGGGGCACGTACCAGGGTAATTGTCAGTAGACAATGGAGAAAAATTACAAGAAGCAAAAGTTACACTTTTCATGGGTAAAAGATAGCATGCCTCATCAAAGGGCAGTGTGGGTCAGTGAAAAGAGCATGACTGGGTTGGAATCCGGACTCCACCACTTAGCAGCCATGTGACCTTAGGGAAGTTACTTACTCCTTCAAACTTCCATTTTCTTGACTACATAATGAGGATGGGGTGGGGCATCACTCCAAAGTGGGGAGAGGAGTTAAATGAGAGAGGATGTATTATCTCTGAGTGTTCATCCAAATAACCATAATACTTTCCTTACTAATTCATATTCATATTTCTTCCTAGAGTTAAGAAGCAAGAAGGACTTGGGAAGCTATGGTAAGTATCGGGTGATTGTTGGACCTTCATTAAAAGTAAGTGTCCCGGGCTGGGAAGGTGGCTCAGTGGTGGAGCACTTGCCTTGGATGCATGAGGCCCTGGGTTTGATTCCTCAGCACCACATAAGCAAAAAGAAAAAAAAGCCGGAAGTGGTGCTGTGGCTCAAGTGGTAGAGTGCTAGCCTTGAGCTGAAGAGCTGAGAGACAGTGCCCAGGCCCAGAGTTCAAGCCCCACAACTGGACCCCCCCCCAAAAAAAAATTAAGTTTCCCAACACATAGAAATGATCAGTGTTTGAGGAGATGGAAACACTAATCACCCTGACTTGATTATTATTTTATACCTCATATGCACGTACAAATCTTATGTGCATGAACAAATTTAAATATGAAAATAAAATGTTAAAATGCCAGACATTATCTAAGTGTCTAGACCTCCCTTCACTCAGCGAGTACTCGAGTCCCAACAAACATCCAAGCAACAGAGCAGGTGTTAGGGACTCAAATGTGAACGAAACCATGTTTTCTTCAGCCCTTGTCCTCCTGGTATGCCCTCTAGAGGTAGTTGGTTAAGTAAATGACATTACACCATATTCTGGAATGTTACTCTGACACTGTGAAAAAAAAAAAGATTGCAAAGAATAATTACATTGAAAATCTAATCTCAGGCTGGGAATGTGGCTTGCCTACCACGCTTGAGGCCCTAGGTTCAGTTCCTCAGTATTACATAAACAAAATAATAATAAAAAATTCAATAAATAAATAAGGATACAACCTAAACATTAAAAAAAGAAAATGTAATCTCATAATAGTAAGTTAAAAAGCAAGATGCAAAATGGTACTCCTAGTGTTAACTATAGTCCAAATCACCCATAATCCTCAAGCCAAAAATAACCCTGATCAACACTGTCATTAATGCCAGCTTTTTACTGTTCTAAATACAACTGCTATTTACTTTAAAAAGTTGAGAAAAATTTCAAAGCATGTTGATAGTTTTTATTTATGGTTTGAAGAATTACGATAGATTTTCTTTTGCTTTCTTCTCTCTGATTGTCTCTTTATTACAAATTTTGTATGAAAATAATCTAGAGACAGGAAATATGTGAATGAAAATGCTCACAGACCTGCTGCACTGAGTTTCTCTCCCAGCATTCTTTTGTTTTCTCTTACCCCTGCCCTCCGTATGTCCAGGGCAGGGCACGCAGGCCCCCACCTGGGCAGCACAGGCATTGTGAAGGATGCATCAACCGCCACTGCCATGTTCCTGTGGAACCCAGCATCTCCTGCCTGGTGATCAGTTGCCGCCTGCTCTGCGGTGCCACCTTCCACATGTGCAAAGAGGCAGAGCATGAACTCCTCTGCCCTTTAGAGCAGGTTCCATGTCTCAATTCTGAATATGGCTGCCCTCTCTCCATGTCCCGCCACAAGCTGGCCAAGCATCTGCAGGTATGCCCTGCTAGTGTGGTCTGCTGCTCCATGGAATGGAACCGCTGGCCAAACGTAGACTCAGAAACCATCCTTCATGAGAACATCATGAAAGAAAACCCCAGTGAGGAGTGTTTGGACACAGCCCTGGCCCTTCAGGACCAGAAAGTTCTCTTCAGATCGTTGAAGATGGTAGAACTTTTCCCAGAAACTAGAGACACCACTGAGGAGGAGCCAATGAATGATGAAGCGAGTTGGGAAGAGCTGGGAGGTGCAGTGGGGGGAACTGATATACGTTCAGCACCACATGGCTGTCTGTCAGTAATGAATGGGGAAATGATGGAGTTAAGTCAAGAAGAACGGGAGATGTTAGCCAAAACTAAAGAAGGAATGGATCTGGTTAAGTTTGGCAAGTGGGAAAATATGTTCAGCAAAGAGCATGCCGCCTCTGCTTTAACAGGCTCAGCAGGGATGTGTGAGAACAAGAGCAGGAATGGAGGAGGGAAAGAACGGAGTTCTGGTGGTAATGACCCCGCTGACACAAAGGATGCTTCAACACCACAGGAAATCCAGAAGCAGCAGGAATTTGCTGCAGCCATGGAAATGACAGGTTTTGCCCCCTGGCAGGATGGTGTTCTGGAAAGACTGAAAACAGCTGTAGACCCAAAAGACTATAACATGTACCTAGTACACAATGGTCGAATGCTCATCCACTTCGGGCAGATGCCTGCTTGTACCCCTAAGGAGAGAGACTTTGTGTATGGCAACCTCGAGGCTCAAGAAGTTAAGACCGTCTACACCTTCAAAGTACCCGTGAGCTACTGTGGAAAACGAGCCCGCCTTGGAGATGCCATGCTGAGATGTAGGCCAAGTGAGCACAAGGCCGTGGATACTTCAGATTTAGGGGTCACCGTGGAGGACCTGCCAAAATCAGATCTCATCAAGACCACCCTCCAATGTGCTTTGGAAAGAGAACTCAAAGGCCACGTCATTTCTGAGTCCAGAAGCATTGATGGGTTGTTTATGGATTTTGCCACCCAGACGTACAACTTTGAAGCAGAACAGTTTTCCTCAGGGACCGTGCTGGCTGACCTTCTGAACACTGGCAACCCCGGGGGACTCCACGTGGAGCTCCACAGTGAGTGTGTGACCAGGAGACACAACAAGAGCAGCTCTGCCTTTACGTTTACCTGCAATAAGTTCTTCCGGAGGGATGAATTTCCCCTGCACTTCAAGAATGTCCATACAGACATTCAGTCATGTCTCAACGGCTGGTTCCAACATCGATGCCCCCTAGCCTACTTAGGGTGTACGTTTGTTCAAAACCATTTCCGTCCTCCAGGGCCAAAGGCAAAAGTGATCTACAGTCAGGAGCTCAAGACCTTTGCCATCAAGCCAGAGGTTGCCCCTGAGCTTGATGAGGGAAGAAATAACCATCTCTCAGGCCATGGAGGAAAAAGCCAGAATTCTTTAACAAGCTTGCCCCTGGAGGTTTTGCAATACATCGCTGGGTTCTTGGACAGCATCAGCCTGTCCCAGCTCTCCCAGGTTTCTGTGCTGATGAAGAATATCTGTGCCACTCTGTTACAAGAGAGAGGGATGGTCCTCTTACAATGGAAGAAGAAGAGGTATTCCCATGGAGGCACTTCCTGGAAAGTCCACAGACAGGCAAGTATACATTCCTTCCTTTATTCATCAAATATTTACTGAGAGATTTCTATATGTTTAGCACTGCACTAGGTCCTGGGACAGTTTGTAATGACTGACTCCAGCAGATTGATCTACTAAAAGAGATGGCCTTATAAACACACAGCAAAATAGATGACTGCGTCCATTTATTTATGTCCTGACTCTCTTCCGCTTGCTCATGTGCTCTGCTTTCCATCCCCTCTTCTCTGGTCTGTGCAGATTGCCTCAACTAGCTTTTTTACTTTTGTTAGCTTTTTTCCACTGAATCTAATCCAATGAGGGGTATATCAGCAAGAGCTAGGAAGAAGAAGAATAGGGCTGAAGGCTATATACTTCTGGCATCTTCCCTGAATGTTTCCTTCCCTCCATGATACCTTAAAGTGATTATGACCCTCCATAACTGAATGTGAATTATTTACTATTACTATAACCTGTAGCTTTTTTTGCATTCCATGCTTGTATATATTTGTAATATGTAAAGCATTTGTTTAAAACATTCTCTTCAATTGTCTGATTTGAGTGGGCCATCCATTTCCCATTTGGATTCTGTACTGGTGATACATGGGCCAGAAAATTTTTCTATCTCATGCCAACACATTTTGAAATTTTACATGAATTTGTTCTACCAATTACCACTGGTTCAAATGCCTGTTTACTTTATAAGTTACTGCTGTATAAATCATACAATCTTTCCTTTCAGTAAAATCTTGTTCCTTTTTCTCAATTGATTCATGTTGGCTTAACTGGCTTATAACTTCTGCAGAGGTGAGATTTCTAATTCATCATGATCAAGGTACACGTAACATCTTTTCTCCTAGAAAATATGATGGCAGTATGAGCTGTGAATGTATGATGTCTGTTTAAGTTGATAACCTCAGTGTCAAGTTTCTGCCTAAAATACGTGTGTTTACAAACTGGTCAAAGTTGTTCCATCTGTTTTTATTGATTATATCTTTTATATCTTCCATTATTTATTTTGTAAGAAATATTCTTTTCAAGATAATAATAAAATCCAGACCTGTATCCATGTGTTAAATACTGGTTGCCAAGCAACCGCATGTTAGGTATAAACACTAAAGAAATCAAGATACTGCTTTCAGAAGTATTGTCTAAAAGTTGCTGTGTTTCCTGTATATATGATGCAAATAATTTCATTTAGATACAACCCCCCATTTGTTTGGTTCAAATTTGTCCCTCAGTCAATGATTTCTGACCAGTTTGATATCATATCAAACTAATTTAATTGCAGAAAGTAGTAAAAATAGGGTAGTTGGGGCAAAAAAAGTACTCATATTAAAATGACAAGTTAATCAAAAGAGTGTGAGAGACATTATTCTAAAATCCCAGGAAATACTTTTTCTATGCAGTAACAAGACAAAAACAAAAAAAGAGGATAAAGCTGTCATGTTGAAAGGGAATCAGTACATCCATCCTCATAATCAGATTTTAGAACTAGTGACTTTTATCTTATTAAGTACCAGACTCATAATCCTCCTTAGCGATCCTGTGAGGTCTTTATTGTTAGGGTACTTTCAATTTCAAGCAACAGAAACCAACCTAAAATGGCATCAACAATTTAATAGTCTACAAAACTAAAAAGTTCAAAGGCAATAGCTTTTAGTAAGGTTTGATCTAGCAGCTCAATAATGCCTCAAATAACTTTTTTCTTCCTATTTCTTATCTCCTATTCTTCAATATTGGCTATATGCTAAGGCACTTCTTTGGTGTTTTAGTGGCTGCCAGCAGCTGCTAGGACTATAGCTTCCCAATTCAAGTTCAGAATGAGAAAAGGAAGTTGCTTTTCTGTATTTCAAGCATAGGTTCTAGAGTAGAGGGCTAGTGGCAATGGCCTTGATTTAAGCGATATGTCTACCTTAGAACACTGTTACTGGGAGGGACAAAATGGGGGAGTAGGGGAGCATGTCAGTATACGTAAGACTTGCTGGGAAGATTATTAACTGGGAGGGAGAACTGGATTTTGGATGCTGGGAAAGGAACTAAAAAATGCCTGCAGCAGCCACTGAATATTCTGGAAGCTAAGCACAGAAAGAATGGAGAGTCGTTTCCTTATACTGTTGAAATCCAGGCTGCCCTGGGGGATTGCCCAGCAGTTTACCTTTGAGCTTTCTCTCTTTCCCAACAGATCTGGCAGTTCAGCAGCCTTTTCTCCAAAATCAAGAGCTGGGAGTTTAATGAAGTCACCTCCATGTCTGAGCATCTGAAGGCCTGTCCTTTCAACATCATAGAGCACAAGACTGACCCGATCCGTTTGACCAGCATGTGTCAACCCCATGAGCAGGCTCGGGAGAGCTTAGTGTCCACCTTTAGGGCCAGACCACGAGGAAGACACACCTAAAGAGCCACAGGTCACCACTCCTGAATTTCTTCTTGGAGTTATTGAAAAAGTAGGACAGTGTGGTCTGAGAGCTCCTCTGTCAACCAGAGATCTGCTTCTCTAGTGTATTGAAATATGCAATGTCCTTCAAACCCACAAGTTGAACTGGGCCTAAAAATTTTCTAAGCTATGGCTTATAGTGTGATATGACATTGATGGCTTCCCTTCCTTTCCCTCCCTTCTCTTCCTCATCATTCCTCTCTTCTCCTTGCCTTCTCTACCCTTTCTTCTCCACTCCTCCTTTTCTCCCCCCCCCCCTTTTAATAGATCGGTCTAAGGAGAAAATAAGTAACTTGAGGCCATTTGAAAAATGAACCCACTAAGCCGGGCGCTGGTGGCTCACACCTGTAATCCTAGCTACTCAGGGGGCTGAGATCTGAGGATCACGGTTCAAAGCCAGCCCGGGCAGGAGAGACTGTGAGACTCCTATCTCCAATAAACCACCAGAAAACCGGAAGTGGCGCTGTAGCTCAAGTGGTAGAGCGCTCGCCTTGAGCTGAAGAGCTGAGGGACAGCGCCCAGGCCCAGAGTTCAAGCCCCACGACCGACAAAAAAAGAAAAATGAACCCACATCCTTAGGAGATAAGAGAGACCAAATTCCATCACCAATATAGGACTATGATTACCCACAGGGCTTTTTAATTTACAGAGCATTTTCAGATTCATGGGGCAAGCAATCTGACAGGGACAAGATCAGTAAGAGTTAATTCTCCGGACACTCTGGGTGCAGATTACCTAACTTAAGGGTTCTGGAATTGTATCTCTCTTGAAAGTCAAGTCCAGTACTAATTTCCATCACTCTACTTCCTCTAAGTCCAGGTGGCCTCAGCTCAGGCCATGTACATGACAGCCATTCAGTAAGGCAATGCTGAGTTTGTACACAGGGTTTGTTGTGTAGAATCTTGGCAACAGAGAAAGAAAAGTCTTGAGAAATTAAAGAGACTCCAAAAGAGACATGTAGAAAATAAGGACAAAGACTACAAAAGTACTTTTACCATCTTGATAATGCACAGGGTAGCCCAAGGAGACCACACATTTGGCAAAGTCTAGACAAAGCCCGCTGCACTTCCTATGTACCAGTTACCACTAAGCACCAGTTGGGGACTCTCCTAGGGTCTTAGAGAGGAGGACATGTGGACATAATGGTTCCATGAAATTGTTCCTACCAGTTGCTGGTTATACTTTTCAAAACTGGCAACTGTTTAGGCAACAAACTGAATATTTAGGAGGACAGAAATAAACAAATTCCACAATAGAAACTGGCAACATTTCTCAACAGTGTAACTGTTCATATTTTGAACTGGATAATTCTTTGTTATAATGGACTGTCCTACATATTTCAGGTTATTTAGAAGCATCCTGAGCCTCTGTTCATGAAATGTCAGTAATATACCAACCATGAACAACCAAAAATGAGTCAGATATTGAAAAATGGCCTCTGGCAGAAAAGTAGCTCCCGAGTGAGAATCACTGTTTTGAAGGATCCCATACCAGAGATAATGTTAGGACATGCTTGTCTTTTAGTTCAGTAAAATCTTATCTCATTTGGCTATCCACAGTGGCTATGATTTAACGTAGTACTTGCATATTTACTTAATAGGTTTTAGACACGTGGTGTCTAAGTTGGGAAACAGATTGAGCTGGTTTGCTTGCTGTGGCTTCATGTCCTCGGGCTACATGCAAGAACATGTGGGCAGACTCAGATATACCCGAAGCCAGAAAAGAATTATGTTTGTCTTGTATTTATATCCTTGTATCTTAATTGGCACCATTTTCCAACAGTCCTAGAAGATCCCAAGCAAGCAAGAAATAGAAAAGAGAGAGAACAGGCAACATAGGGAAGCAGAAGACAAAAGTAACGCAGCCAACAAAAGAAGGAGCTAGGTCAGAGCTAGGAGAGGTGAAGAAGTTGATGCCTCTTAGAACAGTCAGGGAGGCAGTAGAGTAGTCTCCCACCAGAAGGTGACTTATCTTTTCATGCCAATGAACCACTTAGTACTTCTTGGTAATGTAATTCTATTTCTCCTAACCTTTTTTGTTGGGGTTATATTTCACATTTGTATATAAGTTATCATTCTAAAATTTTTAACTAGAGTGTGATCTAAGGCTTTTTCCAGTGAAGATGAAAACAACTGAAGTGAAAACAACTAAACACTGAAGTGGGAACGAAGGAGGAGAGTTTTCCAGGCATCAGTTCTGTGTGTTTTGAAGCTGTTCCTCACACAGAGGAGTGAAGTTCCTAAAGGCCACTCCTGGTTTCTTATTAGAAAGTGAGAGAAAGGGGAACTACAGACCAACCAATGATGAGTATCAGTGATTGTAGTGAGATGGATCAGAAGTGAGGTGCCATCGAGGGACAAGAGAGTGCTTTCCTTCACAAACTGGGCAGGCACGCACGGTCCAGTCTGGGAGAGCAATCAAGACATCCCCACACATGCTTTCTGGGGAGCACACATCTAGCCACACTCTTCTCTCCCCATTGCTGTCTTCAAAGCAGTACTAAATTGACCCACACCATTACATACATTTACTCTGATATCTCATTGTTTATGTTACAAGGAACTATGGGTATCCTCTGGTCCCTGGAAACAAGCACATCTTATGGGGAAAAGGCAGGTAGAGCAAAAGCAGACCACCTCTGAGCCTGAGTTAGAAATATGACTTGATTAGTGGATGAAGCTGCGGTGAACAGCATGAGCAGAGAGCATCATCTGATAGAGACAGATTTTTAGGTGTGCCTTCAGATTAAGAAGCGGCTGGAGTTTTGGGAAGGTGGCTCAGTGGTAGAGTGCTTGCCTTGCATGCATGAGGCCCTGGGTTCGATTTCTCAGCACCACATAAGCAGAAAAAGCTGGAAGTGATACTTTGGCTCAAGTGGTAGAACACTAGCCTTGAGCTGAAGAGCTGAGGGACAGTACCCAGACCCAGAGTTCAGGCCCCAAGACCAATGACAAAAAAAAGAAGAAGAAGAAGAAGCAGCTAGAGAGGCGGGGGAGTGAGGAGGATTCCGTCACAGCTATAAAGCCTGCATACACAAGGAAATGTCCTTGTGAGAGTCCTTGATGAGCACCAGTGCCACCACCAAGAAAGGCAGTCAGATGTGGAGGGTGAAGTTTATAGAACTAAGCCAGAAAGGACCTATGGGCCTAGCATAAGGATCTAGAAAGGCAGTTTCTGTCTTACAAGTGAAAAGCAAGGTGAGACTTGAAGATGAGAACAATTATAAAGGCCTAATTTGTATAGGATGTCAAATCAAACTGAAATGAAGGAGGTTGTCTGTATATCTATGGTAACTTAGCTCTAAATACCAGAAAATACCAATGTCTCTTCTGTAAGAAGAAATAAAAGCTGCTTTGTTCTGAAAAGCTAATTTGGTAAATCTTGTGAGTTCGATTAAGAGATGGCCTGTGATTCATTGGTATAAAAAGTCTTGGGTGAGCTGGGAAGGTGGCTCAGTGGTAGAGTGCTTGCCTTGCATGCATGAGGCTCTAGGTTCGATTCCTCAGCACCACATAAGCAGAAAAAAGCTGGAAGTGGCACTGTGGCTCAAGTGGTACAGTGCTAACCTTGAGCAGAAGAGCTGAGGGACAGCGCCCAGGCCCAGAGTTCAGGCCCATGACTGGCAAAAGAAAAAAAAAAGTCTTGGGTAAAACCAAGGAGTGTCTTCTAGAGAAACTAAGGAACAGCCTTTGGTGTACGGCACTCTATGCCTATGGGCAGCTCCGTAACACGAAGCCCTAGAACAACAGTGAGTCTTTGATACCAGTGCTTTCTCTAACTTTAAAAGGGGAAAACAGCTATATTACTAGAAACAGCATAGGCTTCTGTGTCCTATGAACCAAAGATACCTTACAACAAGTCCCTGATTTTTATTTCAATTGTGCCTGAAGATCTGCTGTCTCTGGCCATGCTGAAGCTGAACACAGTAGCCTAGGGTTGGGATAAAACGATTAATTTTCTCACTCACTCATCCTTATCCCATATTGTGCTTGATGGTTCACATTTTTCCCATAACTAGCTGTCCAGAAGTCCTCATTTATTTTCCTACCTGCCTCAGCAATGGACCAGACAGCAGCTTTGTGAACTTCATCCATCCATCCTCTTTTCTTGACATTGATTTCAGCCATCTAGCTACAAAAAAGCCTGAGCAGAGACCTCTTGAGCAGAAGTCACTGTCTCTAGCTTTACACTCTGGTTTTTTGGACTAGGTTTAAGGTTCAGTCTAAAGAAAAGGAGTAGGCCTTAACCTTGAGCCACAGCACCACCTCTAGTTTTCTGGTGGTTAGTTGGATATAAGAGTCTCACAGACATTCCTGCCCAGGCTGGCTTTGAACCACACTCCTCAGATCTCAGCCTCCTGAGTAGCTAGGATGACAGGCATGAGCCACTGGTGCCTGGCAGTGAGACCTGAGAGCGCTACATCCTGAGCACTAGAACCCAGGATGGAGACGTGCCTGGGAGCAGGGAGGAGATTTAAAGACTTGAAAGTTAGGGCCAGTGAGGCTTATACACCAAATATTATTTACTGCAACTCAGGGGTGAACCATACTTCCACTTTATTTCTAATTTTAGGACTGAATAGAATTCAAAGGTATCTCTACAGGGAAGAAAATGGACAAAGCACAAGTAGGCAAGCCAGGCAATCTAGACCTACCTTCCCAGGTAAGCACACTTACAATCCAGAGCTCACAAGGGAAGAAAAGAGACTTGGGTGTTGGAGGAAAGATTCTTAAGGAAATTGGCAAGACCACAAGATAAACATCCATGAGCTAATGCTGGGTAGAGAAGACACAGAGGGGAAGGAGACTCTCTTCCTCATGCAGTCTCCATCTGAAGCCCTCAACAAAATGGGGAGAAGGAAGCCTGTGGGGATCCTTGAGATGGCATCCTGTTAGCAGGAGGAATGGGAAGGGGTGGTAACCAAGCTACTTTCACCTCCTGTCCAGGAGCAGTTGCTGATGTAGACAGTGAGGGCCAGTCGCTAGAGAAGCTTGACGTAATTTGCAGGGAAGAGTCCAAAGTGGCCATGGCAACGTCCCCGCCACCAGCCCTCGTCCACCATCTCGATGTCAGTGATGATGTCATCCGGATCGAAGGAAAGCTCATCACTTCCCTCTGGGGAGGAAGTGAAAGGGACATTGGGATGGACAGTCAGACAAGGATCCCTTTGTCCCTCCCTGTGTCCATGCTCAGTCTCCCTTAAAGAAAAAGACCTGGTGTCCTTGATGCCAAGCCTGGCCCCTCCCTGCTCCCTTTCCCCTATATCAGGGACCAGTCAGGCTGTTCTGAACATACCTCCTTGGTAGTCAT